AGCATTTCGAATCTCTCAGGTTAGTAATTATGTGTTAACCATCACACGACAGCTTCACTCAAAGAATATAGGCAGACATAAAAACATCACATATCTGTCTGTCAAATTAGGCAATGTTTGGTCAGACTGTCGAATATACAAGTATTTATCCAAAAAATTTTGCCTTTCATGTCTTTTTAAAGCCGGACAATATTCTAGTTGTTCAGGTTAAAATCTTAAAAAAACATTTTGTTGAGCCTGTCAGGCAAATTTTAATATGAAAATTTTTACATTGAATAACTGACCTTGTGTTTGTTGTGATGTAGTTGTTTCTACAGCCTCATTTCCTGAAAAAATGAAAATGTTTATACAAACGATTAGTTCTAAAAATGCATTAATGATTAAAAAGTATATAAGAGCGTCAAATCTGGATTCAGTCAGATATAATGTATTCTATTGGATGTCTGAAACCACAAATAAACGAGCAGTAATAATAGAAGCAGCAGCAATTATAGTAGTCAGTGGCAGATTAAAGGGTGAGCCTAAATATTTAAATATTATGAAAACCTAGGAGAAGAAAAGAAAAATATGTTCAAATTTTAATGTGAGAGTGCCATTTCCGGCCTTTCTAAAGGTGCCATAATAATAAATTTTCTTACCTCAGCCACAACCATGGTGGAACTCAGGTGGTATTAACCCTACGAACCCCCCCCCCCCCCCCCCCCCCCCATCTGTGAAAGCCCTTACCTGGGCCACCTCTATTTCAAATTCCTGGATCAGCCACTGGTAATTATAATAGTAATTCGCTTGCTTACAAGTGTCTTCTACTGCTAGGAATGGGAGGGCTTCTTTTTAGTTACCCCTACATCCGTGTCATTTAATTTTAAGGGGTTCCTGGCTTACCATGGGTGACCCCTTTGGAAAAATAAAATAAATTGAATCCTTTATGGTATTATTTATTTACTGTACTTCACATTGTAGCACTTGCCGAGTTTTAAGTGTGTATCGCTATAAGCTAGCTTTATTCAGTTCTTAAATTATGAACAAACCATGTTGATATTGGGTGAAAAAGACGTATTTAGATAGGAAATCGATCTGTATGTGCTCAAATATGAATTATAATTTTATGCACTTCTAAAACATGAGGAGATGTTAATGGAGCTCTGATAAAGCGGACGCGTCACGATAAAATAATGAATAACCAAATGATTTTCATATGATCCAATCACAGAATGACGAACCAGGATTTCTCATTTTCAACCCACAGAAGAAAACATATGAATGCAAGCAGGAAATTGAAGCCAAAATACCAATGATATATTTTAAAATGTGTTTCAAATGTCCACTCAACCATGATTAAACCGTTTTTACTGAGACTACAAGTCAGTATTGATGATGTGAATACACTTTACCTGTAATCTGGAGGTATAGATTATACGTCCATGCTGTAATTTATGTCTGGTTATCTTTTTTATACCTCCATGATATAATAAAGACTTCTGCTTTTTCGCGCTTGAATTACGTTTCAATTAGTTGGGTAATTAATCGTTACAAAGTGAATATGTTGGGCGTCATTTGTAAGATCTCAACAAGCAGATGTTCATATGTCCCCCTGGTACAACTAAGGAACTGCAAAAGATATCGGCTGCCATTTCAAAATTCGTATCAAGGGCATATCTCGCAAAACTGTTTTTGCTGTCAGCACTTAGGCTACATTCCGCCGTGACTTGTTTTTTAAGAGATGAGAGAGGTCTATAGTTTTTACACAATGGCTGCCACAAGAGTTATACATGTCATTGCATTGGTGTTTTTAATTTAAAGTGAAGCCAAAAAAACAAGCCCAAATAACGACGAGACAGGAGCCTGGAGAGTAGAGTTGAATCTTAAGGCCAACTCAGACAGCATCGTGAGACGCAGCCCGACGCGATTTATCGTCGGGGACAGTCTTCAGCCGTCGTGAGAAATATTAAACATCATTACAATGAAATACAGGAATTCTTACATGCATAGAGATGTCATAACTCACCTGTAGCGCTGATCAGTTGAATGACGCTGTGGAAATTTAAAAATTTGGTAATATATTAATATTCAAATTCAATCAATTAAAACAGTGGAAAAAAGACTAAAATCATTGACAAATAATTACATCAAACATTTTTATTTAGATTATATATAAACAGTCATATTACATTTATCATTATAAAAAATATAAAAATTATTATTATTAAAAATAATTACATCAAGCATTTTTATTTAGTTATTTTATTTACAAAAACTTCAATTTAAGTTGTATTATATATTCAAAAAAATTATTTATTTATTTATTTATTACGTTTTCTTTCAGTAGGTAGCCATCTTATTTGGGAGAGAAAAAAAAATTGAAGTAGCTATATTTAACAAATATAAAATAGTCATATTATATTTATCATTTTTAATTTTAGGCACGTGTTGGATAGCGAATCTAATCACTGCATGTATGTTACGATGTTACAAACAATTAGCCAGGCAACGAGCTTCAATCGATTAACTAATCAAAAAATCACATTTATGAAATTATAATAGAACCTAACAGAAACACAAAATGACATTAATATATTTCATAAATCAAAGGATACGAAGCAAACATTTTGTGAGACTTGCATCTCTTTAAAAAAATCGTTTAAAATAGAGAAATAGCTAAAAAGTGGAGCTCCAGGACGCGGGATGGGGAATGAATCAACCCGCTCGGAACAGGATCTCGACTCCCACGGTGTCGGTCTTCACACCCCGACCACCCCGGTCGGTAAAACCATAGAGAAAGAAAATATATAGCCAATATTTTCTTTTCTATGGTAAAACAAATTCTGCAAATCCGCCTCTGTTTTTTATGTGACGTACCGGTGTGGAACTCACTGTGTGTGACATCCATAAAATATGAATATAGAAAGTAGACAACAACATCAATGTTCTATTCACTTTCTGTTTCTATTTCCGAACTACTTTCTATATTTATCATTAAAATAGTATACACAATTTGAGGTCTTATACATTTTGTTAAATAAAAAATGATAGGCCTACAGGAGACGTTGGTGCGATCAGTCCATTTTATACCTCCTTGATCAGACCAAAGGAGGAAACTTATTCAGTCTTTAATTTTAAACGAAACGTAACAAGAAAATCAGCAAAATAAATGTAGGCCCTATACAAAAGTGACTCACCAAAACAATATAATATGTGAAATTATGTCAAAATACACTCCGAACATACACATATTCATAAATCCTGCAGGGAGGCGTTAGAAAGAGTGAAACAATTAAGTGGTCCGAATACCGATTATTTCGATGGTGTTATGAGAGGCTTGGCGGAGAGACAATCAGCTACTGATCCGTTAATAGTTTACGAAAGCTAATCAAACAATATGTAAATGACGTTGCTAAGTTTCCGTTGTTTCTATGTTAATCTGCGCGTGATTAATCCGCTTTTCGGCACTCACCATGAATAAACACACCATTAAAGGGTGTGTTTATTGTTCATAATTCCCAAAATTTACATCATTCATTTTGAAAAGAAACCCCTTTCTTTACTTTGCAAAAGTGGCATCGAAAAAAGAAGCCCATCTCGAAAAAAAAGCCCATCAAAAGTTCGCGAAAGAAAGACGCACAGGGCTTCAATTCGAGGTATACTGTACTATCTCGAAAATAAGCTTCTATCTTGCTAATTTTGAAAACTAAAGAGATTAAGCCCATTGGGCTTCAATTCAATTCTTAACAATATATTATTTTGTTTTTGATGCATGTACAGTATCCTTTCACAAGCTTATGCTTTTTGGGTCTTCACCTCTTTTTCTAATTTAATAATTAAATATTTTTCTTTACAAATTGTACAAAAAACTGAAAGAGAAGTAATGTTATGTTATGAATGAATACTGTTTTGAATGTATATTGAGTAGCAGTAAACATTGGTTTTACTATATACTGATCACAGTTACAATTGTGAGATAATACAATAGTTTGTGTTTGTTTTGTTCACGGTCATGATAGACAACAGAGAAGATTTGCACAATATTTAAATGTTTCATATTAGTGGATCATTTATTTGGCACAAAATTCCTGAAATAGTACGTTGAAAGTTGCAACACAGGTAGACTTCACAAGTCCAGCATCCGAATCACCAAGTTTATGTTTTTATCTGGGAATGAATCCAGAATTTTGCTGTTAAACAGCATGGCCCTGATGTAGTATTCTTGTGAAACAAACAGGTTTGAAAAAGATAAATACGGCAGGAGGTAACAAGGCTAGCTTGAAATAGCTCCATGCATGCTTTAGTTAAAATACATAATAATAAATACTCTATATAAACTTTACCCAAAACTGTACAGTATTTAACACCATTATTTCCTCTTAAAATGAAGTGGGTATTCTACTCATTTTAATTGCTGAACACATTCAAAATAAAATAGTGGATATAATTTAAGTCACCTTTAAGCATACAATGAAATGTAGGTGATTAACTTTCTAGTTTTGAATACCCCATTAGATTATCTAAGGGTCTAATTTATCTCCACAACTCGAACAAACTAACCTACTGCTTACTGTGTCTGGTACCATGAGAGGTACATGATTAGAAAGAAAACAAGCTGCCATTTATTGACCCTTGTTGGCAGGTGAGCCATCAACTATGACCATGAAGAATGGAATAAAACTATATTGAAGGCCAAAATCCGATATGCATAGTGCTCCAGTCACCTAAATTTTATGTAAAAAATAGTAGCATGATTCGGAAAATTAAAAGTTGAGGGTGTATGCGTGCACAAAATCAATACGCCATTAACTTCATCATCTGTTCATGGTGATGTAATATCCACAGCCCAAAAATAAAGCAACTTGATTTTATAAGTTAATGTAGTATAATCATGGAGAAATAAACTTATTCCTCCATGGTATAATAAAATATAATATATGTCTGATTGTTAGGAAGTAACAATACACATACATACAGTGAATAGCTCTGTTATAAAAATTAAATATAAGTTTTACCCAAAATGGTACAGTATTTAACCTTCCATTATTCCATAACTTAATGTGGTATACTCAGTATATACCTCAGGAGAGGTAAAAATACAATAAGTCAATACCTCTTGCATGAACAAACAGATAATAATAAATATAAATTTTACCCGAAATTTTACAGTAACATTCCATTACTCTACCAACTTTAAATTACATTTTAATAATAAATTAAATTAAGATATACAAACATATTTTATATATTGTATACCTATAATTTTATTTGAACAGATGAATGTTATACAGTCGTTTGGCCACTCACATCAAGTTCATCATCGTTTGATTCAACCATCGAATCAACATTGTTAGGTAGGCCTAAGCCTTGTTTGCATTTACAAACATGTGACACATTGTTACAATCTATGCCAGTGCGTAAGCTGTCAACCTGTTTAAGAGTTGTTAAGTACGATTCAAAAGCTGGAATGGACGCACATAATTCGTTTATCATTCGACACTTGTATTGCAAAGTAGTAACCATTGCATTTTTTTCTTGTAGATTTCTTGAAAGGATTTCAATTTTTTTCTCTGAGGTTTTAATATTTGTATTCAATTTTTCCACTTCATTTTTATGCCGGTTAGCGACATCATTCATACGCTGTTGCTCATCCTCGTCTCGCCTTATGATCGCCTCGGCTTGGTCTTTTACAGTCTTTTCCAGTTCATCAATCCTCTTATACAGTGCTTGGAAGTGCTCATTTGCTTCTTTGATGCTTGACTTACTTGGAGAAAACATGTCAACGTTGATGTTGACTACTCTACCGTAACTGCAAAAAATGGAAACAAAATTTTAAAAACATGCTTAACTTTGCTTCTTCTAGGATAAAGCACCCAGTTTGGCTGCAAGCAAATTTCTGCCATGCCTAAATAAGGCAAAATTGTGTGGAACATCAATGAGTGATTTTAGTGATTATGTCTGCCGTAGTAATAGTGTATGGTGGTATTATGGAGAAATTTAACATTTGTCTTATTATAACATTGAATAACACACATTTGTTATGATTCTTTGACAAATACTGTGGAATATGATATAACATAGACTGGAATGCAATTGATGTGAAAAGTAAACAAACAATAAATTGAAAATTTTACATTATTGTCATACTTGTTTCAACAATTAGTAAACTATTAAACATTTTTAAAACCCAAGCTACTTGCAAAGCCCAGTGCCTGCACTTTGCAAAAATCTAACATTCATTAATTTTCACATGTGCTGGAAAAATTCATAAATTATCTATGTATATTTATTAATTTCTTATTTATATTTAATAATACTAATTATCTATTTGTCAACAACTTAATAATTCTAGAGGGCATGGTTTTGACAAAGCTTGAGAATATTCATGAAAGTGTAACAATGAATCTTTCAGTACATGAAGATTAATTTTATGATTTATGCTTAAAGCCCCATTCCCGGCAAGATTTCAGTTGTTAATAAAAATCTGATTTTTATATTAAGTTACAATGATTTATAAATGTAATACCAAATTGCTAATTTAACTGAAATTAGGCATGCCTAAACATGAAAAAAAAGTAAAATAAGACTGAAATTTGATTTTTTGTGTTCCACACAAAAAATAAATGCGGATGGATTTTTCATGTTTGATTTTGCGATAGGTCTGCAAAGAAATATAGTAGGTGACGAAAACATTAGCCTATCCAACACCGCTAGGCTTGGCGTAGCCTTACCTCGATTTAGGTTCTGTTATAAAAACGGCTGACATGATATTTTCCGTTGCTAGTATTGACACTTGTGAAATATAATATTTCATAGGAATTATTTCAAATTTGTTAAAAAATTATTCTGACCGAGATTTTTACAATTAAACAAACATATCTTAGGCCTACTCGATCGATCTCAGTGTGCGAGATGCGAAGTGCAAAAATCAATTTCATTAGCGACAGCATTCCAGCGGATGTGATCTACAACCTCTGAATTTGCCTAGTAATGTAATGAAGAATTCATCGAGAAAATGGTAATCTCCTATATGAGAAATAGTCTGTATTTCTCATTTTTTAAATTCTTTTGCGTAAAACTAAAATTTATGCCAATGTTTTTCCATTGTTTATAATAAACAGAGTAATGCATATGCATTTTTTCTAAAAAAAAATATTTTTTAGTGAAATTTTGCTGGGAATGGGGCTTTAAATTAATTAATTATGAGCTAAATCAGATTTCATACCCGAAAACTTTATATTTAGAGAACTGCAGATGAATTCTCATTAAAAAAAAAGTCAAAATACACAGGCACCGCGGCGTTTAAATTAATGCCCGCTTGCCATATGGAGACTTGAATTGCCGTTGCTGGGGCTGGCCTACACCAATCATTCTCATTCAATCTGCCACGTCGTCAGTGCTACCGAGACCTGACCGACCGCCTCCGTCCGAGGCATATGGTAGGCCCTAGGCCTAGCATATTGCTGCCTGTGCAAATTAAGTACAGTACAAAATCATTTAAATTTCTAAAGAGAAATATCTCTATTTATCTTATCATCAATAGAAGCACTGACCTCATTTAATTGTCCAATTTTAATTAGAATAATTAGGTAAATATCACCGGCATTTTCTGCCAAAAAATCAGCATGATTAATAATCAAGGAAATTAAAATACAATTCCGAGAACAGCGCCCTCTGGTATCACTTCCATATATTAATGAAAACAACACATGCGTTCAGCGTTCAGCTTTCTGGAGTTTTTTGGTATGAGAATAGTACCAAAATGACTAAAAGAAAGATTCAGAGAGACAAAATACCTGGACAGAAGGTGAAACGAATTAAAGCAAGCGTCAAAGAAAGTGAATCAACTTCAAATTCATTGGTATGATTAAGATATTTCTTATGTGTATGACAACTATTGTAACTCTAGGCCTAGTACCTACAGTGAATAGGCTTTACTAGGCTAGTCCTAATCTACAGTAGATAGTATTAGTAGTAGTGGTGGGCTAGATAAAGGGCTTATCTCTTCCTATCTTCTTGCCCCAGCCTGGCGTAGCATACAGTAGGTGAATAGGCAGAGTATGGTTGTAGAACAAATATGCAAAGTTATATAGCGCCGGTATCCGCACGTTTATTGACTTCCTGCACCCCAAAGGGTCTCTTATGTCTTAAGATCTGTATCCATCATCTGCATTTTCTATGCTCAGAATATGTTACAAAGGTGCAGGCTTTTATATATTTTTGAGGCTTTTAAATTTTGTTTAGTCTCAGAAATGGACAAACAAAGAGCGGGTACTTGTGTTTGCATCTCGTGGTGTATCTTATCGGGATCGACATCTAATGCAAGATATTAGAAATCTGATGCCACATTCAAAACCAGGTAAGTTTGCCAAGACAAAGTGTGATGTGAGAAGCCCCCTGCGATGGCTTTTGCATATGATAAGGAGTTTCCTGATTTTCATTCTTCCAGCTTTGTAATTGTTGGGATACATCTTGACTTAACAGTCTTTTTAAAAATTTCAATGCAAATAAATGTTACCTATTCTGAAACTGTTGTGGATCTGCCCCTGTTTCTACACTCATGAAATCATCTCCTTGGTGGGCAGCCTTTTGGTCTATTCCCCTAGACTTTACCTTCCAGTGCTATTTTGGGGTAACGGTGGATGTTCATTATTTATTAATTTGTGAGATCTAAATTAATCAACCTTTACGAGTACATAATGAGTTAACATGGTAGTTGACTTGGAATGAATCAGTATAGTGTATTTAATTTTTAGATTTTGCTTTATGTTATACAATTATTTATCCACAGATTCTAAGATGACAAAGGGTCAGGGTCTGTTTAGCATCAATGAGGTGAGCGTGATTGTCAGTTACAAGCCTGGCTCTGGTTGAAAAATGTTTTTGATAAGTTGTACAAATGAATAAATTAAGATGTTGGAAGAGTGTACTTTCAAAAAGAACATTTTATCCTGCCAATTGAGATATTGTTATTATTTCAGTACGTCTTGCCAATTGGTTCATGGCTGATCTATTGTGACCCTTTTGATGACATCCTTCCATAATGATTGATTTTTTGCAGTACTGTTTATGTTATTGTTAATATTGTTCATGTGAACATTTGGACCATCTCTGAAGTCATTCAATGCAGGCTAATAACAAACCATGGAAACTTTTAATTCTTACAGATTTGTGAAATGAAAAATTGTAGCAAATGTGTCTACTTTGAGGCACGGAAGAAAAAAGACTTGTATATGTGGTAAACATGTTATGTATTGAATTTTAGATAAAATCCATTTTCATTAAATACAATTTCATATAGGGAGTTACTGTAATAATTAGGCAAATAGTAAAATGAGCACAGTGACATACTGTAAAAGTGATGATCCCCCAGACCTTAGGGGCTCTACCTAGATCCAGCCCCCAGGGTAGTAGGACTTGAAGAACTCTTAGCCAGGGGGCCTCAGGGCCTCTTTGTTACACCACTGAATGAACAGTACAGAAGTTTCAAGGAAGCCATTTACAAATATTACATATTGATTATAAATCATCTTCATCATCCCCACCATCATTGTCATTATCATCTTCATCATCACCATCATCTTCAAAATTATCAAAAATAATATCTTCATTCTAAATCATGAATGTCTTAAATACAGATGGACATGTGCTGAAGGTGAAAACATAGTGGTATGCAATATACCATATTTATTTGAATAAACCTGCTTTGAATAACCAGCCCCTCAAATAGATTACCCCTCCAGAGACACTTTTGGAATAAATGCCTCCCTTGAATAAACTTCCCTTCTCAACAATAAACACTCAGAGGTGTTTACTTGAATAAATAGGTAAATTGATTTATTTTTATTAATAAAATTAGCTTTCTTTCATAATGTAAATTGTTTTTTGTAGGGTATCAAATGTGCCACATGGACCCTCGGCTAAATTCCTTGTTCAAAATGGTAAGTACTGCACATTCATCACATTTTGTTTCAAGTAGTATTGTTGATAATGATATTTCTTGTTATATATATTAAATTACAGTTGAACTTGCCTAAATCGAATCCAAAATGCCATTGAAAAATTGTTTGACTTGGATAAAATTTGACTTACAGATTGTAAATTAATGGAAAATACAACAATTTGGCATGTAAAATAAGTTTGACTTAGAGATTATTTGAGTTAGGCAAGTTTAACTGTATTATGATTGATTGTCTTTGTACCCTATCATTATTTCTTTTTTCCCTCTTTTTAGTTCATACAATGCTGGAATTGAAATTAACTGGAAATTGTTTGAAGTCTTCACGTCCAATATTGTCATTTGACTCTTTGTTTGATAAAACACCTCATAATAGACTCTTGAAGGAACTCTTCATACAGGTAAATTACAAAGGGCTCGTTCATACTTACGATTTAGGTAATAAGATTACCGCTATTCCAATTAAATGTGTGCCCCAAATTAGGGTTTGTTAAGAAGACCTCCGAAAATCCAACACGCCAAACTTAGTGATAAAACAGCGCATGCAGGCATCCTTTCCACAGTAAATCTTATTCAGCGTGTCAAATCTCTGTTGATTACACGATAACTTTGACAAGTATGAACGCCTACAAAATCTACACCTCGGGCTACTAGGAAAAATTTAAAAAAATCAAGTATGTACACAGCCTATGAAAAACAACAGTAATCACTAAATTCATTAATACAGTAGATTGATGCAAGACCAACTAGCTTTGCTGGATCATTGTCTGTGATTTCTGTTTCTATTAGCATCTTCCTGTGGGTTTGTTGTGTTTGCAAATATATATATAAGTTTATATTCCTCAAATATGCGTTGGTTGAACAGTAAAATACCATAAATGAGCAGTATCATGTCACAAGGGAAGGAGAACACACAGGCAAACTTTGCACTAACATTTTTCTTCAGCAAAATAGTATTTGTGGAGTGGAGTTGAATAGCGTAGTGGTTAAGATGCTTGCTTTCTAATCCCAGTGTACTGGGTTCAATTCCTTGACGGCAGGATTTTTTCTCATGACTTAAAATAAGTTCACTCCCTAAGCATCAAAAGCATTACATCATTTCATTTATTTAAGGGGGCCCCTGAATATCAGCCGACATTCTAGGATACGCTGGAAGGGTCAACCTCTCTAAATATGGTAAAACAAAAAAAGAGATTTGCAGCTACAAATCATCAATTTCTTAAACTTGTTGGATGCCATTTTTAAATCCAATATCCATCATTTCAACATATGAAAGAGACTCGCTTTTTTCTTCCTACAGACATTTGGTACCCCGTACCGTCACCCGAAAAGTCAGCCATTCATTGACCATGTTTTCAGCTTCTCAATAGTTGACAATAGAGTATGGTTCAGAAACTACCAGGTAAGAGTTGCACACAGGCTAGGTTCTCAGGTAAGAGTTGCACACAGGCTAGGTTCTCACGAGAGCCCTAGTATCCGGATCGGTAGCTAACTGTTAGCACCTGTGTAAGAACACCCGATCGATTAGCACTAACCGTTAGCTGTATCTGGATATTCAGAGTATGTAATAACCTTGCACGTTTGTCAAGACAGCTTACTTCAGCAAAAGGTTAACAGACCTTTCTGGAGTCTGCACGTGTTTGCATACGTTTTTACAGTTGTTTGGCAGACCCCTTAACGACAGTAAGCAAGGGGTGGGTATTAACAGGAAGGTCCATCGTCTATCAAGTAGTTGAATTCAATATGAATGTTTAAAAGACAATAGATGAATTAATATTTTATTATATTTTTGTTGATAGGTAGTTGAGGAAGAAGGTTCGTTGGTTGAAGTTGGTCCTCGCTTTGTTCTTAACCCAATCAAGATATTTGCAGGTAGCTTCAGTGGACAAGTGCTATTTGAAAATCCTACATACAAATCTCCTAATTTGGTGAGTTTATCAAGGAACCGAGTATATGCCTCACCCAGTAGTGGCTCCAGAAATTGGCTGACTAGAGCCTGGGTCAGGGTCCTGGAATAAAAAATTTCGGCAAGGGTTAATTTTTTATGGCTTAGTGACCCAAAATTATTGGCAAACTAAATTATTTGGATAAAAAAATCCGCATTTCCAACCTAAGTAATAATGCAAGATAGAAATGTTCTTCAAATAGAATCTATTTGCTAGTTTTGATTATCCTTGACATTTGGTTGAATATTATTGATTTGTTTTCAGTTAAGAAGAGAGGTACGTCTTGCAAAGGGTTCCAAGTATGAGGAACGAGTGCTCAATAAGATTGCCAAAGAAGCCAAGGAACCAGGTGACCTTTATCCAGCTGATGTCACTGATGATGTTTTTACAACCATCAGACCAGAGGATGCTAAAGGTGTTGAAAAAAGCACCTTTTATAGAAAAACCTGAACATTGACAGCTTGCAATTTGATAATTCTTTTGGTTGATGCTGTTTATTTGATTTCCTAGAGATGGTAATACACAAGGGATGGGCACAAGGAGTATGGACACCATTTTTCAATTAAAAATTATTTCTAAGTCGATCTTATTTTACATGCTGAATTATTGTGTTTTCCATTAATTAATAAGCTGCTTGTTGAACAATATTTCTATGCCATTTTAGGTTCAACTGTAGTTTTGTCGTCGTTAATAAACTTTCCATCAATAAACCTACGAGTGTGGCGCAAAGCTCCCTGAGCTGCTCTTACGCATTAGATCGTGAGATTAGCCAGCTCTTAGGGTCTTGGTAAGCAAAAATACTTTTCTGATTTGCAAGGGCCACCACTTCATGTGTAGTCGTTGCATCACCAAAACCTACCATATTGTTGTTTTAACAGTGCAGTTTGTAAATGTGATAGAATAAATTAAAGAACATATGTTGTATCAATTGTTGATGTGACTGAGTCACAAAACATCTGGCATGCTCTTGAGAATCGCATCAGCATATAATGACCTGAAACATGGCAGATATAAATAAATTTTTAAAAAGCCAATACTAAAGGACACAAAGACATACTTCCGTTAGTTTGAATTGTCTTGTTCCTGCAGGCAATAACATTAGGTACATAGATAAAAAACCTGCTCATTAATCAGTCAGTAATACTATCCATTCAAGGGAAATAAGCACATGCAACATCCCCTAACTACCATAAAAGACATTATTAATAATTAAAAAAAAAACAATCAATGAGAAATTTTTCACAATTCACTCCAATATTTTATTAGCACGAACTGTACATCAGTCCTTATCTTATCTTTATGTGAAACACTTGTTACATTGAGATCTCCAGCCCAGCCCAGTTTAATGACCTTCCTTAACACATGTAACTGTATTTTGCTGCTCTTGGTATACTCATGGCCAGGTGATTTCAGGGAGACAATGATACTGGGAGACCCCTGTATAACACTTATATATAACACTTACGTATAACGCATATAGCGTTTTTTAATGTTTATATTTCTTAAAATATGCCATATCAAGGCAACTTTATAAAGGTGATATACTATTTTTATTAAACTTACATAAATTACAGTAGTTATATTTCTTCATGTCCCAGTATTCTTCAAATTAATTATTTAAAATATTTTAGAATTTAGTTCAAAAGGATAATAAATAATTGACAAAAAATAAGTTTCCAAAATCACATTTTCTATTTTTGGTCACCAAAACTCCCATCTGGACAATTCTACCTTAAGTAAAATGATTTTCCACTTCAAACTAATTGAGTATAACTCACATAAACTACAGTTATTATTTCTTCACGTCCTTAAGTATTCTTTAAATGAGTTATTCAAAATATTTTAGAATTTAGTTTAAAAAGATAATGATGATAAACAAACAACTGAAAAAAACATACAAGTTTCCAAAATCACCATTTCTATTTTTGGTCACTAAATATAAAACTCTATCTGGACAATTAAGTCTACCTTGAGTAAAATCATTTCCCACCTCAAACTAATTGAGTATAACTCATGTAAATAAATACAACTTGGCTACACTACCATGTTTTTCAATCAATCATCTTACCAGGAAAATGTATAATTATAGAAGCATGGTTTCAGACAATTAATGAGATGGACACGCAATGTCCAATCACATCACAATATACTACAAAACCAGGATGAAGATTTTGGTTCTTCTGTTGGGGGTGTTTCCTCCGGGGTGGGGGTTGGTTCACTGGGGGTCTGATCAACAGCAGGTTCAGGGGCGGAGACTGGCTTTTCAGGTTCACTGTAATGAACAACATTTAATATACAAAAAAAAATACATTTAACACATTGTAACAACATAACATTTTTTTAAAAATATACCACACTGTCTTTATTGAGCCAATAAACAATAACATTAAATGTATAAATTGTATCTAATTTGTCAATCACATGAAAATTAAAACATACAAAACAAATTCTTTTGGCCTTCAAGATAAATTCCTTAAATTACGTATTTCATGATGAGGATGATGTACTAATAAAGCTTTCAGTACTTGATACATTTAATACCGTTCTAATAATTCCCCTATTAGGGACCCTTAAATTGTCTGATATAATGATCTTAAGATTGTTAATCCTAAAATCCAAAGTTAGTATGTACTTGTAAAGGTGGTTAGTGTAAGCAATATAGGGTGACATACATTCATTTTTTATAAGAATCACATAACCATTATTGTTTCTCACCAATATGAGTAAAATTGTGCATGAAAATAAGCAGATGAACTTAAAGAAATGAAAGAGAAAGGCCAAGATGCAGTGTGGCTATACTGTATGGATAGTACATAAGAAATAAATAGTAGATTATATCTTTAAATACAATCATAGGCTCTGCCTTCATGGTAACATCTTTGATGTCTTTAATCAAGATCCTAAGTGCAGTAATAACTGAATAGTGTCAAAAAACAATTTTAGAAGGAGAAAAGTTATCAACAGATAGTTGGAATATAAGTTAGAATAAAGTTAATTGTGCATGCTTACATTGAAAATATACCACATAATCAAAGGAGATTAAAATATGGAGTTGAAATAGCAGACAGACATCACAAACAACTATTGATGTCCAACTGATTGACGTGCAAAGTTAAGGCCAGCTCAGGCAGAGTCGTATGACGCAGCCGGACGCAAACCATCGTGTGCAAATGCAGACAATGTTTTGCGTCGGGGGAAATCACGTTTTAGAATATTAAACATATTTAATATTTTTCACAACGGCTTAAAACTACCAGACGAGGAATCTCGTCGCCCTGCGTTGTACACCGCTGTCTGATTTGGCCTTAATAAAAGCTATCTGCTGCCCCCCCCCACCCTCAGAGATTCATCATTAATGAATTATACACAAAATAACAATGTTAATAAATTTTACAAACATACTATGTAAATCAACATTATTGTTAATTATTGTAAACAAATTGTAGTAGATTTATGTTTAATATCTAACAAAATGCATCACTTCTGACTCAAATAATAGTTTTACCATTTTCAGGCCTGTATAGTATAGCAAGGATTGGAAAGAAGGTTTTTTGTTCTAAGAGCCCATCAAAAAGTCTCCAGGGCCCCACCGAACAACTTAGTCTGGGAGAAAGACCCTGGTCCAGTCCTGGGGATAAATCTCAAAAAGACAATGCATGAAGAAATGCAATGTATAAAATACTGTACAGAGTAACATTTTTAGAATGAAGATCATCTCTCACTGATAAATGAGCATTAGGCCTATGAGAAGAGGGTGTGAGAGGGGTGGGGATGTTTGCTGTAAAGTGAAGATTTGCACAAACCCTTAATCCCCTTGGCAGGATGATTATCTACATCTCCCAAAATTTTGATCAATCAAATAAACAACTAATTTTGGCTTGGCTCCATCATATGAATAATTTCTAAGAATATCAAACACAACATCAATGGTATCTTTTCTATCAGCACTGCACACAGAATATATACAGAGTATTGTCATCGTAAAAGTAAATATTAATCAGTTAGTTTTCAGCAGATGTTTACAAGCTGTTATTGATTCTCAGTGCACAGAATGAAGTTACTATATTTATATTCTCAGATGCTCTAAGCTGTTACAACATATACACAACTGAATACTTATTTATACATGCAGTTACATTCTTTATCTTTATCACAAACTTCATAAAATTGAAATAATTTACCATCTTTACTTTTTAATACATAGTTCGACATTGTTTCATACAGAATACATCAAACTGTATATAAAATCAAGCTGTATTGACTTTTTTTACTTTTCAATAAAAGCTAGTCCACATTTAAAAAATAGGAATCCAATCCTAAATATGACATCTCTAATACAAAGAAAGAAAATTACAAACAAATAAAAATTTTCACTTATTGCAAAGTTTAGTATTCTCACTGGAAATGAATTGTTATTCAGGGAGTTATAGGAAAACTGAAGTAGATCAGAGGCCTAGAAACATACAGTAGTGTATTTTTGCCTTTACAATGGCTGCACACATAAAACACCACCATACTACAGTGCAATACAAGGCGACCGTCAATCGTTAGTTTCAGAGGGTGGAATGCACTGGAGAACCAATCCTGTATTCCTATAACTCTTATGGCAATACCAAGATTAAATTTAAATTAGGTTATTATTTATTATCATCTGAGTGTAGTTAGCACTGTTACAGGTGATATGTGCATTTTACATTGTTCAAAAATTATTATGTTGATGGTTGACTAAACATACAAATAAAAAAAAAGTATAAATCTTCAAATTTGCTTACTCAGTAAAAAGTTTCTTGACATCAGCAAACACCTGAAAATAGATTATAAGATAAATAGAAAATAAGCCAAGTTAGTTTGTCTCATATAATTAGTTATCTAGAACTATACTAGGAGTTAGATTGTATCATTTTGGAATACAGATGACATGCCAATAATTGTCTACATAAACACGATGCTGGTTAAACACATTCTGTTGTACACACAATGGAAGGAATTAGCCAGAAAGGAAACACATGGCTGATATATTAATTATTATGAATATAGAGAGTTATAGAGAGTTACAAATACAATTCACTTCTGTAGTTTGCAATCAAATTCTACACCATTGATTATTTGAACTTCACTTCTCTTTCTCCCATGTGTTAGTAGATGCTTCTATATTTGTTGGGAATAGAATTCATTTTACTTTTATAATTAATAATTTATATATACTGTAAATGAATGTCTTACTTCATCAGGTGTTCTGTTTGCCTGGACTCTCTGCACTAGATTCAGCTTATCATAGTGTTCAATAATTGGCATAGTTGATGTCATGTGTGTGTGAAACCTAAATGCAAAATAACAACAATAACCCAATCTTTGTTGATTAATAATAATAACTGAAACTGTCATGTAAGTTTCAAACCTTTTAGTCTATAAATTAAAGAACCTTTCACAGTGTACTAATAATAATAATAATAATAATAATAAAAATGATAATAATAATAAAAATGATAACATGAAAAAGTTATAAAGCACCGGTATCCATACAAGTAAAAATATGACAGAAAAAGGAAAGAAATAAATTGAACCAGATACAGTTAAAGAACCAGAACTAAAACTTAGTAATAAATTATTTTTGATTGACAAGAACAAAGAAATAGAAATGTCTGCTTTCACTCTCTTTATTACCTGCACAATAAAAGATATAAATTAATAATAAATAATTTTTTATAAATATTTATATTAGATGATAAAAATAAGAATTAAATGAAAAGCCATTATAACTTAATAATAATAATAATAATAATAATAATAACAACTAGCACTAACTCAGACTTAAGGGGAATATCTTTTGTTATTTTCCCCCTGAAAGTCATGTTATTTTCCCCATAAAATGGTTTTTTTTAATTGTTCTCTAATTTCTCCATTGTCTAAGTTCCACTTAAGGTAGGTTTTAGTAACATAATAATAATAATAAAATAATAATAACAATAATAATAATAATAATAACAATAACAATAACAATAACAATAACAATAATAATAATAATAATAATAATAATAATATGATAGCACTTCACATTAATAAAATGCTCCCAAATAGCATAATTACCTTTTTTTCAAACTTTCTTCATTGTCATCAGTTCTCTTAGCGCCTCCCTTTGCAGCTTCTTCCCCTCGTTTTAAACACCTATTCACACATTCCTGTTTCATAAATTCACAAGTATCAGATACAGTACAGTTATTTTATACAAGGTTCATACACCTTGGTTCACAAACATTTGTATATATTTTATTTTATTTTATTTTATTCTTATTTTATTAATTTCAACATAAACATATATAAAAAAAAAAAGTTAAACAAACACTGTCACCAACCAAACGCATATTAACAAAACATGCAGATTTAACAAAAAAAGGTAGAGTGCAATTCACTTCCATTCATTCATAATAATAATAATAACAACAATAACAATATTAACAATAATTATAATAATAATTATAACAAACTAACAATAACAATGACAATAAAAATAATTACTGAAAACTTATAGATTTATAATAATTTTTAACTTCATCTTTAAGTGTGTATTTACATATATGTTATAAATTCAATAATTTCTATGCTCCGGTTAATAATTTTATGTTACTGCAAAATGAGCAAATTAATTTCAAAATTATTTTTAATGATATTTTGTCATTTTCAGGGGAAAACACATCTTTAACACTTATTAAAGTCAATGTGCAGGTGCAATTATCAGATGGTTAAATGCTCACCTCTTCTGAGCACTCAAAAAATAAAACAAACTTCAGATCAACTTTATCTGTCATTCTCTCAGTCCAACCTGCCAAGTTATCTTCATTCCGTGGAAATCCGTCAATTAAGAACTTCTTCACTGAGCTTTCATCCATCGCCTATAAAAAACAGTGCAGTATTATAATTATATTTTCATAAAATCCTAAAAGTAATGTTAAAAGTGCTATGATCCTTGAGGTCTGTCTTGGTAGTGCCAGCTCATGTTGACTTGTATTTTTGTACATCTCTTTTTTTTTCCACTTCTCTGCTATTTGCATAATGTATTTTAATACAATTTGATTGATACATCCTTCTGAGCTATGGTGCATCTGGAAGTCTTGAAATGATAGGGGGTGCAGAGGTTAAGTGGGAGAGTCTGATGATTATTGATTGATTGATAGATAGATTGTTTGATTGATTAAGTGGGGAAAGGGCTAGCAAGCAAAATAAGTTGATATGAGAACATTTTTAAGTACTTAAGCGTAATTTGGCCCCCATCCAAATGCGCCCTGGATAAGCCAATGCATAAGAGGTATTATTCTTTACAACAAAATTTGCTTTTGAAGCAACTTACCCTTTCGAGCAAGCTAATAGTGATGGCGACAGGTACAATGGAGCCATTCTTGATGTGGCTTTGGATGAGCTCACCATACTCAGAGCCTTCTTTGTTTTTCTCTGCTCTCAGTAAATCGCCAGCTGACAGATGAACATAACCAAACTCCTACAACAAAAAAGAAATTGTAGTAACTGCATTGAGTGGAGTTGAATAGGTTGGTAGTACGTGCTTGCCTTCCAATCCCAGGGTTCAATTCCTGTCGCGGTAACATGGGTTTTTTTTCTTACAGCTGAAGACAATTCCACTCTGAAGCCTCAAATTAATATTATGTACCTCATCTTTTATGTTTTTCCTGTGAATGGATATACCACTTCTAACAGTTATTTAGTCTGCTGTTTTTGCATATCTTTGGCCTAAAACCAAACTTAATAAAAAAAACAAAAAACATAAATATCAAATTGTTCACAAACACAATAACATGACAATGGTGGATCTAAAAGGTCGCTATTTTGACGAAATTTTCAATTTCATTAAGATAAAATATTTTTAGACCTGCCTGTTTAGGGATGCACCCACTTGCTACATGCTCCCTTCTTCCTTCTGTTTAAATACCCAAATACCACTTATTCACCTAATGCTTCTAATGACAATAAAATATTTACTGCTTAACTAAGTGACGAAGAGAGTTGGTCCTATTACCTAAAAAAGCATGTTTTAATAGTTTCAATACTAAGAAAACAAAACAAAAATTGTTTTCCTTGCTTTCATTTTATAAGCAATAACACATTAACACTGTCAGTGGTGCCGAGAGGCCGGAGTTACAGTAACTTGGGCAAGTGCCCCGGTGCCCGTGATAACTAGGCAAAAAATAATAAAATTAAATTAAATTAAAATTATTGAAAACGTATACATTCATACAGTATCATTCATGTGTTTTTCCCACAAGAAGAAAGCTGACCGTTTATCGATAAAAGCTGGTAAATTAATCGCTTCTAATTCTTTCTCATAAATATTTTCATGACTTCTACTACTCTAGCGTTTATGTTTACAATGTATCAAATAGTAAATTCTTACATTATTAATTAATAATTATAAAAGGCTTGGACCCTGGACACTGTCAATATACAAACAAGTTAGAAAATATGAATAGACCTGATAGAGATTTGATTGTCAAATAAATACTGAATTAATATATTAAACCAGTGGCGGATTTAAGGGGAGGCCCCCTAAATTTTTCAAAATTTAACAAAAATTGAGAAAAAAAGAAAATTCTACTCAAATTTAAGTCTAAGAGTTCCATTTCCAGTGCTATAATCATAAATTTTCTTACCTCAGCCCCAACCTTGGTGGGCCTGAGGTAGATAAACCATCCATCTCTGAAAGTCCTTTTGTGGTTTACCACCAAAATTTACTTTTTTTATGTTAACGAAAATGGTCCCCATATCATAATGGACGGGTCCAAGGAATAACCAATTACGGACTAATTATGGGAGGGGTTTGTAAATGAGGACTCTAATAGGAAGGAGGTCAGAGGGTGATAACGGGAAGGATCGCTGTATGTGGTTTTTCGATAAATAAAGTTCACATGACTACTCGGTTGATGTCAAATTGCGGTCCATTACATTGTATGTGTTGTTTTTATGTTATGTTTCTTCATATACTTTAAAGACGGATCCAGCGGAAAAATGTTACAATATGTACAGTAATATTATTATTACCCAGAAAATATTTACCTCAACTATCTTAGCACACTGTGTTCCCTTTCCTGCTCCAGGGGCACCAAGAACAAATGCTGCCAGTGGTTTTTCTGATGCCATAATGACTCTATTTGTAAGTCGAATGAACGTAAACAACATATACTGCTGCAAATAAAAACAAGTAATATTTAGGAGCATTATCAGTTTATCAACTGTACCATCATAGGCCTAGGCCTAGAGTTAAAAATTTATTGCTTGGATAATAAAATAGGTTTATGAAATTATATTTATAATTAAAATGTCATATTATCCAAGTAAGGTCACATAGAAAAAATTATTAGATTATCACTCCTTTAAAAAAAGTGACGAGGGCGGTTTTATTTTTTTTTCTAATCGGAAAAATAGAATATTGCTTTTTTATCGACAGTGGTGGATTTGGGAGGGGGTGCGGCCCGGCCCTGTCACCCCCCTCCTTTTTGGGAGGTAAAAAAAGGGGAAAAAAAGAAAAAAGAAAGAAAAAGAAAAAAATGATAGCCCAGAACACCTCAAATGTTATTTTCAGGCGTCTAGAAAACAAATTTCGCGGTGCAGGGCAGTGTTGTCTCGATCAGCCAAACTTTCAGCCCCCCCTTTTAGACATCTCTGGATCCGCCCCTGATCGATCAGGGAGGGACTGTTATATTTGTGCAGAATATTGTAAATATTGTATAAATATTTTATTGCTTTTAAAAGAAAATCTATTTCCAGTCACAAAATTGCATTGTTTTCTTATATGCAGTTGAACAAATGATGTTTCAAAAAATTTTTTTTTTTATTCCCGCATCAATATTTTCCAAATTCTTGACACGAGCGGGAGTGATAATCTAACAACCTATTCTATGTGCCCTTAGGAGCATTATCGGTTTATCAACTGTAACATCATAGGCCTAGGCCCAGTGTTAAAGCTCCATTCCCGGCAAAATTTCAGTTGTTAAGAAAAATCTGACTTTTATATGTTATAAAGATTTATAAATATAATACGAAATTGCTAGTTTAACTGAATTTAGAGATTCCTGAACCTTTAAAAAATGTAAAATAAGACTGAAATTTGATTTTTTTTTGTTCCACACAAAAATAGATGCGGATCAGTTTTTGATGTTTGATTTTGCGATAGGTCTGCCAAGAAATAAAGTAGGCACCGGAAACATTTTTAGCCCAGGCCTATCCAACACTGCTAGGCTAGGCCTAAGAAGTAGCCTTACCTTGATTTAGGTTCTGTTATCACATATGAAATCGGCCAAAATAATAATTTCCGTTGCTATATTGACACATTGTGAAATATAATATTTCATAGGAATTATTTCTAATTTGTTAAAAAAATAATTCGAGTTTTGACAATTAAACAAACATATATCAGGCCTACTCGATCGATAACAGTGTGCGAGATGCAAAGTACAAAACTAATCTCATTAGACAGGGCGAACTTTATTGAGTGTATGAAGTATACATAACAGCGAGAGCATTCCAGTGGATGCGATCTGCAACCTCTGAATTTGCCTAATTAAGAAGAATTTGTCGAGAAAATGGTAATCTCCTATGAGAAATAGTCTGTATTTCTCATTTTTTTTATTCTTTTGCGTAAAACTAAAATTTATGTCAATATTTTTCCACGGTTTATAATAAATTAGAGTAATGCACATACATTTTTTTTTTTTTAATTCCTTTTTTAGTGAAATTTTGCCGGGAATGAGGCTTTAAAATCGATTGCTTGGTTTGGAAAATAAAATAGGCCCTAGGTTTATGAAATTATAATTATATTTCAATACTTAAATATTTATATTTTATTTAAATGTCATTTATTCACATAATCTTATTATTCTTATGTTTCAATTACTATCCTAAGTAGTTAGATATAAAACCGATAGAGAGCGCTATAGATCGGCAATACAAACATCGCGATAGAAAATAGTGCCCCGAAGGAGATAGGATATCCAATGTATTAATTGGGTATTTCACGGAAGTATACAACGATTTGACCAAATTACTTCCAGATAACACTCCAGAAATGATTTCTGGACCAAGTTATTGGCTTTTTAAGTGTGCGAATCGATTTACTAGATAGAAGTTTTTTTAGTACAACCAATGTTTCGTCGATTTTCAATAATAAAAGGAAACCTTCGCTAGTTTTTTGGTTAACATGCTTGTTTTCTTCAGTTTTTAAACTATAAAGATAAGTAAGTTTTAAATAATATTTGTGAGCATATTAATTGAAATACATGGCATAAAATTCTATTGTCTTATCACGTACCACAGCTAGACTCGGCTCGTACAAACGAACGAATCTTCGATCGTTGCTACACACACTCATTACTCTTGCAGCAGCAGTGCACTGAATGACGTCACGCATGTATCGGCGTTTCTATTGGCTAATCATGACATAATATCATTTACCGTACCATTAGCAATCGGAAGTTCCGATACGGTACCGTATCTCTAGCCACGGCGTAAAAACAATAGGAATTAACTCCAGCTAAAAACATATTTAAAATAGCAATATCTCCGCTAATATTGGTCCAATTTACATAATTTTTGTTTTAAAATGCTTCATTCAGTTATGTCTTTCTATTAAAAAAATATTTGGGACATTTCAATTTTTTTGTTTCTAGCTATCCTAGGCCTAACTTTAGCGGATCACTTCGGCTACACCCTACCTCTGTGGCCCCTTTGTCTATCTAGGCTACTAATACCAGCCTATAGCTAGAAAAGAATTCTAGGCTAGCCTAACTTTAGATCTAGGAAGAACACTACACTAAGCCTAGGCCTATCTATGCCGCCGCGTATACCTAGCGCCTAGCTAGGCCTAGCCATAATTTTATGTCATAATTACTAATCGAAACTAATTTTCATTATAAAAAAGGCACGATGTGATAGGCTATCCGGCTATTCCTATTGACCCTATGTAAAATCAAATTATTTATGCTATAAAATGAAAATATGTTATCATTTCAACTCAGGTTTACCTTTTAAAACCACAACCTAGGCCTCATTCATAAGCTTCTACGACATCTACGTGGTTATTTTCCCATTTCCCAATACAACTTTATTTCGACTGGTCGAATAGACGGGCTCTGGTATTTCATGATCCCTTCTGTATGTTTACGCTTATTATTGTAACGGGAAACTACCAGTCGAATATATAGCCCATACTGAGGGCGCCAGATATTTTCAAAGTTTCTTTATTGAAATCGTCAAAAACGATAGAAAATTAAATTTTATCATTTTATGTACAGTTAGTGTGTACCATTGTGTGTGGTGACATTATCTACCCTTTCTTCTTGTCTTTGTGTTTTTCTTAAATTAAACATAGACGGATAACAGTAAAAAAATACAGGCCTACAGCTAAAAATTCTGATTTAAAGTGTCCTATAAAAGTTCAATTTATCTAGAATTGTTTTCAATATGCATATGAATTAATATATGAATTTAATTTATTTCCAAAAGAATTTTGATTGTATATTTTCGTAATGGTTGGGATCAATCAACTAAGCTTCGCGTCAAAAACTTTAGAACCAAAAGAGTGAAACTTTTTTTAAAGACTGACAAAGGCTGTTTTGACACTGGTTTCTCATATCTATAGTTTTTGTTCGCAATGCTCTCTGAGCAAATATAAAGAAAGAATTAAAGAGGTGTAGCGCAATCACCGACTATAATTATTCGTTTTTCGTGATTCGTGAAAGGTGAAGTATAAATATCAAAGGAAGGTATGTAGTTTAAATATTGTTTTATTTTTCCTATTTTATTAAATTTTCTCTTTATCATGTCATGTCAACTCTATGCCAAAATAGTGCTGTCTTGAGTTGTTGAGGAGGTAACAAATTGAAATTTTTAAGATAATTATCGGTTTTTTCGAGAGAATAACTTCCATAAGACTGGCGTTGCACAATTACTGTTATGTTCTTTTTTATGATAATGTTCATTTATGTTTTTTACACCGACAGTTAATAACGTCTAAAAATGACAGTAACTGAGGAATATTTCGACGCAATAGCCACCGGTGATATCAACAAATTAGAACAACTCTTAAAACATTCCAACAGTTTAGGCCTGGATGTTAACTTCACAGATAGTAATGGTTTAAATGCATATGCTGTTGCCATCAATGAAGGACTTGAAGGTAAGAAAAGTTATTACTACTATAATAATAACATACAATAATCGACGGAGAGGTGGCAGGGTCATGGTAAGGTCGAATATGACGACGACGACATGATGATTAGGATCTACTTAAGTTATTTTTTTATAAATAAAATAAAATAAATATCAGCTATATGTAGGCGCTAACAACCAATCTACACCAAACCTTACAAGGAAAATAGCTCACGTCACCAACAGGGAAGGGGAGTGTTTGTGATATTCCTAGTAACGTAACCATAAGCGCTCAGAAACTGAAAATAATCATCATTATGTATTTACTATTTTTTGGCACCATTGCCATTGTATTTGATCTGTTAATCACACTGCAAAAATTATTTGTCTGTGTTTTGTAGTACTCGTTAAAATTTTACTGGCATATAAAGTTGAACTGAAAGACGCTCTTCTTTTTGCGGTTGAGAACCAGATGTCGGATGTTGTTGAGGTTATTTGCAGTTCTGTACGTCATCTTCCACTTGAGGTAAAACTTCACGAATAATAATAGCAATAGTAGTGATAATACTAATACTAATAATAATAATGATATGTTATGTTGTTATTAAAATATATTGTGCAAAAATTAATGATACAACATACTAAGCTTGTTTATGGGCCTAATTTGATATTGATAAGGTAGAGACAATGGCCATCAATGTTATGCCGCAGAATAAGACATTCTAACGCAAGCGGCAACTGTTATAGATTGTAGATACAATTTTAAATGTGACCTATCATATATACAGATTAGCACAGGATCGTCAAGATATTGACACCACGGTATTGTCTACTAATACAATCATACTTTCTTTTTTTAAATTTAGGAACGAATGCCAATTGTAGACTGTCGCTGTGTCAGTGATATTTTCCCCGCCTATTTGACTCCAATTATTTTGGCTTCTCATAATAACGATTTCAAAATCGTACAGGTAGGCCTACGTTTGTATCATTTATTACTTTATTATTGCTGCGAAGCAGCCAATTCATATTCTTGACAGCAATTTGACCTGAAAGGTCATTGTTTGTCAAAAAACAGGCGCCTAAGACGACTGAAAAGCGGAGTTTCCTTCTTTCGTTCTGCTGGGTAAAATCAATTACTTTAGGCGACGTTTGTAGACTAACCTACTCGTACCAACGTCCACATGTCGCGCTAGCCAGGCCTAGACTAGCTAGGATGGTAGGCCTAGCCTTGAAGGGACGAAGGTCCCAATGAAAAACAACGTCGCTCTTTGATAGCTAACATTGTCTATTTAACATCACAATAATTCATTATTAGACCTATAGTTGTTTTTTGAATTGTACTACACAAATCTCAGCCGATACCTCGCACAAATC